TACTTTCAGAAATTTCTTGATTTCTGAGAAACCGTTTTCTTTATTCAGTACAATTTGGACGAATTTGTCTTATGTCCTAAACATATGTGGATCTTGTGAGCTTGCACGCTCGCAAGATGAACTTCGCGATAAGAGCTTATAACCGGTGAAACTACCAATAAGCGAAAGAGGTGAGGTACAGTTTGATGTTGATTGAATCTTAGGAAATTCTTTGAACGCGATAGAATGTAACGTAATAGCTGGCCGAGTACACTTACACCTCTAGAGGCAATAAAAGTCCATGAATGACCAAGGCTCTATTCAATAGTCTGTAACATATACAGATCATTTTGTAAAATTGTTAACACAACATGGTACAAGTTTCTCAAAGAAAAATTCCTCCTGCCATGCTTCAAAGCTTTCAAATACGAAATCAGTTTTCAGAGTGAAAATATGGAGCACATTCGCGGAATTGGATTTGACTACAATAGTTTACCAGGTCTGTGTGGATGGGAATTCTAGGTTTAGAATAAAATTTTACCACAATTAGGTGACTTAAACTACCTGAACTGTGTTACTGCAAAGCAAGAGGAGCGCCACTGACAAGAAACAACAACAGCGATTCATTATGCAAACTCAAGTTTTGAAGCAGCCTGCAAAATGCAAACTCATCATACGTCACGTAGTTTTGTACACTCTATGACACCACCCTGGTAATTAATTTATTTTACTCAATTCCCTTTAATGTGATACAGGAAGGTAACATGTGCAGTCTGAGTCATTGTCAATTTATTGCCTGTTTGACAAAACAGGTACTGAGTTAATACAACTTAACTAGCAGAATAAAGGCCACCATTACAAAATTATTGTTTGGAGTTAAATAAAGCACAAAGCAATAAAAACCAATAATATGTATGTTCTGTCCAAAGTGAGTATTTCGAACGCTAAAGGTCGAGCTATTTTCATCAAACTTTATCACGTTGTACAGTAGTTATTCCAAACAGAAGAACAAACTATAACAACTTAAGGACCGCTGATGATTTATAGCCTGAGGGGTGGGGTGGGAGAATTTTAGTTGTGTCACGATAAAATTCGCCTATTCCACCCTAAAAGCTCTGTAAAATTCTTATGACTTCCCTCCCCTCTTAATGGCAGTTGATTTGGAGATAACTTTTCACAGTGCCCCCTTTATACTCTATCGGCGATGGTTTATTATTACATTAATCGTCGTGGATACACGTAAAAATCATTTCATGTTTGTTATTTCAATTTTCATTATAGCAACCCCAAGTAAGCATTCTTAGCTGGCTACTTTGTTGGAGTTTTGAGTGGTGCAGTCACCTTTAATATTTCTATC